CTATGAAATGTACGTCATATTGTGGATAAGATATCCGCAATCACAGATCAAAATATAACCTCACAGGAAACAAACACGATTTTACTATAAAAATACATCTAGTAATTGAATTAATAACTTCAAGTATTTAATAGACCCTATTTTGAGATGTGAAAACTTCGTAAAATAGAGACTAAAGTATTTGAAATTTCCACTTTCATACTTCAAGTAATTCAAGAGTATTTAAAATACTGAGTGAAGTACTTGGAGTAAAGTACTTGGCAAAATCAAGTACATTTTAGAAATACTCCAAGTACCAAGTACCAAGTACCTAAATATAAAAGTATTTGAAGTATTACTTCAAGTACTTTTACTTGAAGTACTGAACAGCTCTGTTTATATATATAGCTATTACTAATGCTTACGTAAGTGCTCTTTATTTGCTTTTACTAAGTGCTTCCAAACGCTTATTAATAACAACGTTACTATACGCCTTCTCCAGGTCCATGAAGAGTTACAAAAAAAAAAGAAAATTCTTAAAATTTGGTGCAAAGTAATAACGTGGATGATCTAACTAAAATTATACTTATTTTGTTGTACGTCAGGTAATTTTTCACAAACTACCTTGGTAAATTTAGAACGAAAAATGCGTAAAAATATCACCCCCCGACAAACTGCAATTCACTCCATTTCCATTATTTCGATATGAAAATCTGTATCATCACCGTCATTTTCAAATTCAGATTCTGAATCAGATTCACCTAGCGAAATAACGAAAGGAGGTATAGATTCGTACGAAAGATTTCCTATATTTTTTCCCAATCTGCCAAAATAAGTTATTCACAATGTTTACAAAAATTTTGCCAGATGCTTGGAGTACATTCAGAAAGCGCCTCAAGCCATAAATTCTCCACCCTATTTTTTAATGAAGGTTGAGAATTTATATGCTTATTGTAATAGTTCTTACAAAATCCCTACGCCATTTCAGTTATATTGACAATGGTCTGGAGGTAATCTAAGACCTTCATGGCCACTTTCTCTTAATGTCTCGTCTACCAAATATCCATTTTTCTATTGTTTTTGAAGGGTTTAATTAAATCCCACAATTGTTTCTTCGAAAATTTTTTGTCAAATTCAACACTATGTTTAAAGAGCCATTCCTGCATTTCACATTTTTTACTAGAAAAAGTGGGTGGTTAATCCAAATAAACCGAATGATACGGTGCATTGTCTAAAACCACCACACATTTTTGGCTCAACTTTGCCAAAGCAGGAATGAGCTGATTAACCATCCAATTTTGAAAAATTGTCCCGTCCATCGTTTTATGATAGTCTCTATCGTTATTTTTTGATTTTAAAATATGTATTGTTACAACTATCCAAGAACCCCGTTGAACAACCCGCGCGGAGAATAGTAAACCTTGATCCTTCACTTTTAATTTTGGTGGGGTGCTTTTTAGATCAGTATCTTGCACCCAGCGACGAATGGACAAACCATTTTGATAGATCCATGTTTCATCCAAAAACACGAAAGTCAAATTTTCACAAGGATTTAGAAACTGTAAATATGTTCTCAAAGAAGTAATTTTGCCTGCAACGACATTTTTTTGTTTACATAGAATTTTGCGACCATTTACTTCCCTGTGTTTATAACCCATTAAATTAAGAATTTTGTATAATGTGGTTCGCCTCCCTTTAAACTCCAACTGTTCCATAGAATATGCCAAAAGAGTATCTGCAGTGAAATATTCGTTTTTTTCATTAAGTTGCCAAATTTGTCGTTACAGGTCTTTCCGAAACATATAATTTGTAAATAAATCTGCTGATTTTCGCTTGCTACATAGTGATGTTTTTAAATTTTGGTCTGTTGATAAAATTTTGATGTTCCCACCTATGAGAAAAAAAATATTTTACAGCGTATTTTTACATTACAGAAAATACGTTCGAGACTCTCATAGTTACTTCTTCGAAAGAAAGATCGAGCCTGTCTTTTCGAAACTGTAAAAACCATCTTTTTATTGCAATTTTTTGTTGCAATAAAACTATTTTAGGCATTTTCTTTTTAAATAATGTTGCAATGATCTGTGAATCTGTCACAATGACAAATTATCTATGCTGAGAAAATTAAAACATTTGTTTGTTTGATTAAAAAATTGCGTCTAATAATTATTCTGATCTAATAAATGAAGTAGAAAAGTGGCAATCCAGCTCAAAGCAAATGTCAATCAGACTACTGACAGACAAAAAACTAAATCATCAAATCAGTTTATCCAACTTAAAGAAAAATATCAAAGTCTACTTTACTATATAAAGATCGTGAATGGATAATATTTTATCGTTTTTTTTTTTTTTTTCTATAAGGAATGATCAAATTTTGTGAAATGTACACTAATATCTTTGACGGCGAAATAGGTTACAAGGAATAATTGTAATTTTGCCGATCCTTTTAATTAGAATTTTGTGTTTTTATTTAAACTTATCAAAGGTCTCGTCAACCTCTTGAGAAAGGCAATTGTTAACATTCCACTTTTTAACATTATTTCTACAAGGGTAGCTTTTCATGTCGTAAAAAAGGCAACTTAACATTCCTATGGTCATCTTTTACAGAGTTGTGTTTATACCTATTTCCCCGCCAGTTGCTTTTTCAGTGAACTCTTGTGATATTTTTATGACGAGTTATTGGACTTTTTCCATTTTATTTGACTGTTGATGGAATTACTTACTTCGTGTTGAAAATAATTAAGTAATTTTATTTCAATAATTTACCACAGAAGCTTTATATTAGGTATGAAATCATTAAATGGCACAAATTAGCTGTCATGGCTTCAAGTTTTTGTTTCGAGATACGGAAAAGTATTTAGCTTTCTTAGGAGAATGTTTGAAAACTATCAACCAAAAAATGTTGCAGTTTTGATAAAGAATTAAGAAGATATTTTTTGAAAGTTAGTTGACTGTTTGAGTGGTGCTTGTCACTGTGAAACTAATCCTAAATAATTATGTGGTTAATGGACAATTTGTAATGATAACATGATATGATATACAATATAAATTACCCAGAAAAGTTGTGATTAGCGAAGGTGATACCTTCTTCAAGGATGGAGATTGTTTTAGAAAATATGCATCACTTCGACCTTCAATAAATGTACTCTGTAATTTGCAGGACATTCAGTTAATTAGAGGCACCCCACGAAAAATTGCAGAATTTTTCAACAACCTGAAAGTTATACGGGTCATTGTTTTAGGATGTCCTCCACCACGATGTTGGTGGAAAATGGGAGCGATTTCCTTAATTTCAAAAAATTTGGTGGCTGGAAATCTTTAGCAGTAAGCAAAAAATCAAAATTTCGAAAATGCTTTTTGTCTCAACAAAGTCTGAACTGAAAGTCTTTCAACGTCTGGAGCAACTAAATTCTGAAGCTTTCAAGCCCAAGTCTGAAGAGATCACGAAAGAAGAAAATGCACAGGAAAGATTTGTGATAGCTACCTGGCAATTCCTATTGTGTGTTCAAATTATGCAGTTGTTATAATGTTTGAAAACAGCAATTTTGTTATGATTTAACAAGTCATTTCCAGATTTTCAATAAAAGATAAATAAGACTGTTGTTGAAATTGACTGGTCAGCAGTCGACCTAAGAGCTTTGTTATTACAAAATAACGAACAGATATTTCGAAAAAATAATAAAAGACGCTGCAACACATGAACCGCGGCTCTGTTTTTGTTCTTTGCTCTCCGAACGGAAAAGCGCCTGAAGCAGAATGAGATTTTTCCCAATAAGGATGCATGAACGAAATTGAAAAAAAATACAGTTCATATTAAAAAAAATCAGTCATAGAAGGCAAATAGTTAGTAAGGTCCGAAACAAACTCACATATAATATTCTCGGTTGCTTGTTTGAAAAATTATTCCTTGCAATCATAAATTAAATCCATGCAATAAATGTCATCAGAACGCAAGTAAAAATCCATACTGTGTAAGAAAAGCACATTTTCCAAGACGTGTATTCCGCACACGTGTAGTGTAGAATTTTAGGAATTTATATTATTGCACTTCGCTTATTTCAAGAACAATAAATTAGAGTTTTTCCAGAAACATCTGATCTGTATTGCTGTAGTAATGCTGGCGACCTATCCAACTAATTGAAAAAACACTTAGTTTCAACAGGATGGCGTTGCTCCGCATTATTAACGAAACGTAAGGAGACATTTAACGAAAACGATTGAATATAAATGGGTAGAATTAAAATTCCGACAATACTCTCATGGAATACTTGACGCAAGAAAATGCTAAAGACACAATTAAATTCTTTAGATAGACAAAAACTTTCAACTTGTGTAGAACGGCAAATACGATGCGATCTGATTGCAGTAGACACTTATAATGTAGTAGATGTGACTAACACATGAAAACAATGGCGACTTGAGAAAAGTTTTAAAATAAAACCCAAGTATGACAGAAAAACAAAAATCTGTGAGAGTATTTAATGCCATTAATAATAATAATAACAAATCCACACTGATTGATGTTCGTTTCAAAGTGAGTTGAAATCAGACGTAACTTGCTATTTAAGGACTACAACATAGCTGTTCTAATTCCATCAACGGTGAGTTAAGAAGTTTAAAAATGACATTCATTATAAGAGAAATAAAGTATCAAACAATGAAATAAATTCAATTTAATTAAAAAAAACTGTAATGTGTCAAGGGAAGTTTCTAAGTCGAGGATCGTCTTAGATAGTATGTAATATCCCTTACACGTTAAAAGGATTCTCATAAAGAGAAATTAAACTTTTCTGCTGATTTCTTTAGTTCACAATTTAGTAGCAATATAATCATTTTTAATTTCGGCAGTTCATAGCTATTGAATTGGTGAGACCCCTTACAATTATAAGTTTGTATGAGAGAGAAAAACCTTGGAGGATTGATGAAGTAATTCCTTCCAAGAACTGGAACGGCTCTCGCCCGAGATTTACGTCCTCTTACTGCTAATGCCGATTCTTATCGTCGAAATAAAAACTCCGATAAAAACGAGATGACGACATTAAGTCCGTTTTATTTTGTTTAAATACATTAATATAATACATGATAAAAACAATTACACTTATATGCAGCTCTCCTGTATTCGGTTCGACGTCGTAATGACTTCAGGCCCTCGATATTTGTGCGTCAGGGTCTGAGTGCCCGGATTGGGGGTTGCGGGGTTTCGTCCGGGCCTCTGTAGACTCCGGTATACCTACAATGGGCAACCAAGCGTCTTATCAGTGCTATAATTCAGTCTCAATCTAACTTCGCCAACTTACGGTCTGATTGGGGATGTGAGTTTCTTTGGCAACGTGTCTGAAATCGTACTCCTCGCCTTCGTCCTCGATGTCCTCCTCTTCTCTGGACCCGGGCGGTTCGTACACTTTCATAAATCCGAGGGTCGGCCGCCGCTCTGGACACACAAGAAAAAATATGTGTAGTGTGCTGTACTTATGGTGATAAGCTGCTTATTTTTTTCGAACTTTATTTAAAAATCAAAGAGGATTTTTCTATTTTTCGACGTGGAAGGATAAATTCTCCGGGCTGACATTAATACGTTCATCTCGACGTTGAACGTCCAAAATAACTTTTTTTACATTACGGAATTACTAAGGTCACGTCCTTATCAACCATCTCGTTACTTTTAAAAGCCTCTTAACCGTACTGTTCATTACCAGCGTTTGCCAGAGTCACTTACGAGGGATAAAATATTTCAAATAATTATAATGGATGCTGTTAAGGTTATCTGCTACGCAAACAATTTAAAAATCCGGTATCCTAACGGAGTTTACTAACAAGCTAAAGCAGTATGTGAAATTAAAAACTTTTCCCATCTAATACGGTTTCGAAATGGTTTTTAGTCCAACTGTGATAAGAATAGTTGCAAGCCAAGTTGCAACGAAGTAAAAATTAGTTTCTGGTTTATTAGACAAGACTTCTTCAACGTCTGGAGCCAAATCACGAAAAAGTTGAATTCAGTTCTGGAAATTGTTTTTTTTTTATCATAATCTCATAATTAAAATAAAAATTAAATGGATTACTAAACTGCACATAAATGTTCTTTTAACTGCAAAATTTATATTATATTTAAATATGATTTTTTTTTTAAATCGAGACTACTTGATACCACGACAAGGAGATGCAATTGTAATACGATATCGACATTTAACGATTTTCATTTCCTGTTGGGAAATTATCAAACATGTGATGCAATCTGACGTGAAAGTTAAGATCAGTAATGTAAGTCAGAAATAATATAGAATCTGAGGTTGATCCTTGTGGAACACCGAAGTTTACAGAAAAACTCGACGAGAAAACGCAACAACTATCTAAATAAAGGTTTCTTGCAGTCACGAACTGTCATTCAAGGATTCCAATTCGTTATAGTTTATAAAATATTTTCTTTTATATTTTACGTCTCTAGTGGATCAAGTTAGGTTTTATTTCAAAATTTCTTATCGCATGGTATGGAAATCATCGAACCCAATATTGGAACATGTCTTTGTTTCTTTCATTGTAGATAAATCTAAAGTTATAAATGTGTTTGTAATTGTTATGGAACCTACGTGCTTTTCTAAACAGTATTGTAGATGTACAATTTAGTAGAAGTATGTCTACAAATATATTGAACATCTGATACTGAAGTAATAACAGTTATTAAAACTGTTGTCATTTGATCCAGACACACAAACATACATCAATAACTGCTGTGAAAGTGTTTGAAAATACGATAGGATATCTCTTAGGAAAATAAACATACTTTAGGTATTTGATCAAACACAGTGACAATGAACCGTAGGCAAGATACACATTCTAGAAAAAATAAACTTTTTTCGTGTTTACTAATTAAATTTGAATCCCATATATTTGTCGGCTAAAACAATATTAATCCCTTAGGTTAGTCTTAGCTAATAGCTACGTTTTTGGAAATTTCGAAAAAATATTAATAAACACGTTATTAATACGACTTTTTAAAGTACGTATTTTATGCAAATACCCGATAGGTTATAAACGGATTCATAAACCACAAGAACTGGAGTATGTTATTTTATAAAATTTAAATACTATGGAAAAATTTGAGTCGACCATATCAAATAGATGATGATGATAAATAATTAAAATCAACACAGACGACAGACAGGCAGACAAACCAAAACGGGGATCTATTTTTTCACAGTCTAGGGGTCACGAAACGTCGAGAAAATACGAAATTAGTCAGTCGCTGAATGACTTATACCTACTTATTTTAAACATGAATACAGTTTTTCGCAAAATTATTGTCGCCGTGTTATACTTCAACTTATCACCTTACCAAATAGACTTTTTTACAGATGGAGTAAAACGACGTCATTAACTATCTTAAATAAAAACTTTAAGGGATTCCATGACGGTTTGTAATAAAACTGTTGTCAAATCTTCGTGGATTTAATGAAGTCGTAAAGAGACAAACGTTTGATACTAAAACCGTTCTATAAAACATAAATCAAAGAACGAAATCGACCGTCTGAAATGTAGAAGATGTTGCTTTCGAAGCTAACTATTCTAAAACCCGAAATTACAAGGATCAACTGACCGGTCAGGCAGTAAAAATTATTGAACGTTATGGAGCGATTCATTTTGCTGTGTCCATTTGTACGACATGAAAAACTTTTTAGTTAACATGTATCAAGCTGGTTAACATTTTAGCGGCTTTATTGTATACGCAATTTTCCGGCTTTTTTCCGACAATAGGACTGTTTGTTCTATTAAAGTTTATGTTTTTGAAATCCATGATAAACCCTAGTGAAATGATGAATCCGCCAAAAGTACATATTGTTGTTTGGCTAATACATGTTTATTGTTCAAACTTGAATATTTTTAATGTAGTAAATAATTTTGTTTACAGTATACAATACCCAAAAAATTGTGTAAACCAGAATTAAAATAATGTTATTTTTATAGTTATTCATGTGGAATTATAAAGTACATAATCAATACGTTTAAAATTTAAATACTGTATAAAAAAATGAGCCAGAGGCTAACCAATGTTTGTGTGAATTAACCATGATGATAAAAATTTGCTGAAAAATAGTTACTGATTTCATATTGCGTTTGAGGGTTTTGGGATTTTTTTTCTCTAGGTAATGCAAGAGTAGTTTTTCTTTTAATATATCATAATCTTCTTTTTTGTTGATTAAATGTTTCAGTCACAAGAATATTGCAGTTTTACTTCCGAAGTGTAAGCTGGGGAGTGTTCTAATCGGTTCCATTTGGCGAACGACTAATTTCATGTTTTTTAGAGTGTGAGAAAGCAGATCTCCCGTTTCCATCTGTCTGTCGTCTGTCTCGGTATTCATTAGACACATTATTTCCAAATTTACTGTCCCGATTGTTGTCAAATTTGGTATGTATTCTAGGAATGTGGTGCAGATGGTAAACGCTAACCAAAATTTATCTGATCATTCCAACGAACAATGTGATGACGTACGATTTTCCATAGCAAATGTTATATACTTAAATTTCATAAAATAACTAACTTTTATACTTGTGGTAATTCGCCTTTATTTTTTATCCTAGACATCCAAACATTTAAAATTTTATTTATCATAGTAATGCTTACGACAATCGTAGGCAAAAGCATTGTTGGTACTCAGCAGCTTGCTTGATTACAGAAATTGATTACACAGTATCTACTTCAATTTTTCAATTTTTCGGAATTAATTTTTCAGTTTTTTGACATTTCGATTTTTCATATTTCGATTTAACGATTTTCTTTTGATTTTTCGCCTTCTCGTTTTTATATCACCACATTTTATACTAATATAGGAGCACTGGTTTGTGGAGGACGCCAGGGCTCGAAAATTTTAGAATACAGTAATGTATATTTAATAATGATAAAATAAATATTGTCATAATAACAGCGACTTACCAAAAAAAAAAAAAATCAGAACGTTTTGCTGCATTGTAGCTTAATTAATAGTTTTAATCGCTTCCTCTGTTTTGAGTAGACAATTTGCTGCATGCTTAATTGTCGCATTCTTTCGATGTATAAACATAAACAATTGAAGTTAAGCATGTACTGATAATTTATTTTTACTTCAGAAGGGAGGGAAGATCTGTCTAAATAACTTTAGAGCAATTTTTTGCGTTTAAAATAGAAAGTTTTATAGGCGCCTAGTGTTTTTTTTTAATATAAAAAATCTTCAGGGCCTCTTGTGTTTTGTTTTTAAAATACTCTTAAAAACTCTGGAAGATCCGTGGAGTTTTTTATTTGGAAAGAATTTTGTAGAATCTTACGGGCTCCTAGCGTCTTTTTTTAAGTATGTGATGGTTCGTTTTTGAAGGACAAATCAAAATAGTGTCAAAACCGAAAATTTGAAATACCAAGAATGTTAAAAATCTAGAAAATCAAAAAATCGAAAAATTAAAATATCGAATAGATGAAAAATGTAAGATTTAAAAACTCGTAAAATTTTGAAAAATCGAGTAAGTAAAAACTCAAAAAAAACAAATTTAAAAACTTAAATAGAGAAATCGAAAACTCAAAAAATTTAGGAACACCAAAAATTGAAAAATCGAAAAATTTTAAGCGCGAAAATCGAAAAGACGAATAATCGAAACTCTAAGAAATCGAGAAATTGAGATCGAATAATATCGAAAAATGGGAAAATTCAAAATTGAAAATTTTAAATTTAAAAAAACACGATAAATTGAGAAATTAAAAAATCCAAAAAACCAAAAAATGACAAGACCATAGAACGAAAAACTTAGAAATCGAAACAATAAAAAATGAAAAAACTAAAATTTAAAAATTCGTAAAATTGAAAATTTACAAATTCGAAATCGAAAAATCAAAAAATGTAAGATTTAAAAAAACGCAAAATCCAATAAGTAAAAAATCAAAAACAGAAAATCGAAAAATCGAAATACATTGTGGAAAATCCCAAAATTGAAAAATCCCAATACTTAAACATTGAAAATTTGAAAATTGAAAAATTGAGAAATCAGAAAGACGGAAAATCGAAAAATTTAGAAACGCCAAAAATTGAAAAGTTGAAAAACCGAAAAATTTAAATACATAAATCCCAAAACTGAAACGTTGAAAAACTGGAAAATCGTAAAATCGAAAAGATGAATAATAATCGATAAACTCAGAAATCGAGAAATCGAAATGGAAACATCGAAAAATCGCAAAATCGAAACATTAAGTCGAGAAGTCAAAAAATCGAAAAATTGAGATATCGAAATAGCTACAGATCGAAAAATATAACAATCGAAATATCGAAAAACTGAAAGATTAGTTACTTGCAAATTCGAGAAATCAAAACATCAACGAATCGAAAAATGACAAGATTGAAAAATCGAAAAATGTAAGATTTAAAAAATTGAAAATTGAATAAGTAAAACCTCAAAAAAAACAGAAAGTCGAAAAAT